CGTTTACAGAATCACTACGCGGGAGTATTGGCTTCGAACCGGGCGGTTTAGAATATTACTTGCCTGGCATCGAATCGTTGCTCAAAATTGTTGTCGAACCGACCCTGCTACAAAACGATCCCACATTTCGCGGGACGATCAGTGTCGTGCCCGAACCGGTCAAATGTACTATGCCCGTCCAGAGCGGTATACTGGTCCGAAAAAAGTCGGACGAATGTCGAGAATTGACGGTCTCGTTGAAATTGAGCACATGTCCCGTGCGCAGTGAGATGTTCGAGTTACGTGTGTACAGTAAGTGAGTGCGATGAGCTGAAGTGAACATAGGATGACTGCAATCCCCGAAGTGAGGTATGCTCCAAAAATTTATCTTTAGTACCTGAGGGAGTGCTTTGAGTGAGGTTCAAAGCTGTGGTCAAGATTTTCACGTTTTGCCCTAATTTTTCGCTTATTTTCTTCATATTCGGTGATGCTCCCCAGTAATCGTTTGCATGTTGTTATCTTCGAAATAATCACAAATTGGTTATCATCAGTGCTTTTGTGAACAACTATCAGAATTTCCAGACATGGAGATGCAGAAATGCAGTCACAAAAGTTGCGGCTAGTTTATTTGACAAAATAACACGGATTATATATGTACAAGAAAGGAGCATTGGTTCAATGGGCATGAACCAATCAGCTTCCGTGTTCTTTTTTCAATTATGGTATTCCTGATCGTGTTGTGGAGTTTAGTCCAAAATGTAGTCCTTCATTAGTCATCAGATAATTGAGAGGAATTACCATTAGCAAGTGTTGTCTCGTAGCGTTAGATCCCGCATATTTCCTTGGTATCCACAATTGGTATCTCGCTGCTCATTGTGCCCCGAGAATGAGGTTTACAAAAGACTGCAACTATCCTTCGGAGATTCAATGAGATGAAGTTCAAACAAGTGGCGTATTCCCATCCAAAATATTGATAACAGAGAGAGGAATGTTTACCAATTATCCCAGCTGAAACTATCACCACACAAAAAGTCGATCGGTAAGATAATATTGCTGCCAGGGAAATGCCTTTGTTTGCAATTAAGACATTCCAATCTGTTTTCACGGTCTCGTGTTTCTTAAGCACAACGTTGAGAATCCGGGTTTGCTTACTGCACCCGTATCTGCAAGAAGAGGTTGATCGACACCACAGTCTATTTGCATGGCAAAATATGCCTGCCTATACGGCTGTTGTGCATATTTGCAAATATAGATGTGTAGCTGTGTGTATGTGCATATATATATATATACGCATGTTCCGCGTCTTATGTTTTACATCGGCTTATTTCGGAGCACGTGTGCGTGGACTCATCTGCAAATCTTTGGCTGTGTGAGCATGTAACATGACTGTCTTGTCGAAGGCTGAGACAGCCAGATCGAGGTCTTGGTCGAGTACTGATAGCTGTCCCATCCTAAGATACATATGTATACAGTGTGCATGTATTTTTAGATTCATTACTATATCATTTTAAGTTACACTTGAGAAACTATAATTTTCATTTGCGAAACTGTCTTTTTGAATTGAGAAATCATCACTTTGATTTGCTGTGCTTGAATCCACTTCCGTTCAGTGCACGTTTTTTCTACCCTCGAATTGACCACCTATCATCCCACGCTCTTTCTGTGTTGAGATGAGCCAGACCTCAGTCGTGCATCTCGTCGAGCTCTGTGATGGAAGTCGATTCGGTGTGTCGGTGAAGCCATGCTGTTTAGGTGTGACGGGTTGTTTCTTGCGCACCACAGCTAAAGTGACGGAGTGACGGACAGGTTGTGACTGATTTCGACACGGTTAAATGCGTCATATATGAAAAAAACGATAGGTGATCGATAGAGAACAGTGTCGAGGTCAAACGCATGCCGGAGAAGCAAGGGATAGGTTGATGAACAGACAGATAAGCCAAGAGGGATGGTGCCGATGATGATGATGAAGTGGGGATAAACAAACCGGTGGCCATGGGCAAGGTACGGACACAAGGATATTTAGTGACGACGCATAATAATTGCATGCCACGTGAATGATGCCAAAGGAGGCCCAACGATGGGTGCGTAGTTAGTGAAGCGAATAGACAGGGAATGACATAGAAGGTCTAAGACCTAATAGGTCCAGTATGACGAATGTAATGTAAAAATACAGTCAATCTCCTGCTATTTCGCATCCCTGATAAGTCGCACTTCATAATATCTTCCCACTTTTTTCGAAAAACCCAAACAACCATATACTTATTAATGTAGTTTCTGACTGTGCGATGTCGCAATCCTCAATATGTCACACTTCCTGATACCTACTGACTTGGTCGTTGACCGATGTTCGGGACGACAATTGACCATCCACCAACCAATAGCGTTGCACCTAGTGTGACGCGTTCATGGAAATGTTCACTAAGTGGATAATCCTTGCAAGGAAGTTACACTGATGTAAGTGGTCGGAGACAGTGTCATTTGACGTCAAAATGTGCAAGCGCCTATCGATCAGAGAGAAGCAGGATATGTTGGAAATGCTGAAACAGCCAGGTGCAACTCTGTCAGGAAGGTTAAATTCCAAAAAAAATCCGGTCAAAAAAGTCATATGTTTGGCGAGAATAGCCAAAAGAAAAATGCTGCAGCTGGGTGAGCCTCCGGCCCGAAATGATCGCTCACTGTATTTCACCACGGACGGTACGAAGTTTTCTGATAGGTCAGACAGCATAATCAACCGGGCGGTTCGATGACTCTGACTGGTCAATTGATATCGAACGTTCAGAATGCACCGGACGCAATAAAAAAAGAATGAATGCTAACGCGGAAGGAAGACACCTTTTTCTCTAATATACTGTCCTGTTCCATTTTGACTGTGTTCTCTTCTTCGGCTCAGAAGTTGTTGGTGCGATCGCAGTCTCAGCAACAGAGCTCCGTAGCCAAATCACTTGTAATTTCACGAAAAAATGTCTACAATGGTGCATCCGATCGAACGACTATAGGGGAACTTTTGAACGCTGGAGCATCTGAGGAAAGATGCCATCTGAAAACCAACGAAAAGTTCAAGGCAGTGAATGAGGCAACTTTGGCTTGGTTTACTCCTATGAAGGAAAACCACGCAGATTTCCCAATGGTGGAGATCTTCGTACTTAAGAAGGCACAAAGAATGCTTCATAATTAATTCAAGGCTTGCAAAGGTTGTTTTTGCTCTTGGTCAGACAGATATGTATGTGGTAATCAGAATAGTACTGAATGTAGGCATACGAGAACCCGTAATGTACTGCTCAGAACTGGATTGGCTCCAACCATAAATTTTTTAAATCACAGTTCCCAACTTTTCAGTCATGTCTCATCCATACAGACCAATCCATTGTCCAGTTTGTGCTTCCCCTTTGTGCCCGATCAACAGATCAAATCGAACTGGACATTCAGCCACAACAAACGTTTTTCATATTTGACAAACCAGTGAATCAAAATTTGTACACATGCGGTCTGCAAAGGCCAGCTCCAGTGCTCACCAATATGCTCGGTGTTCGCTGGGTGACTAAAACATCACCCGGTTCCATGTTCATCACCACAGGCACGTGGCTTGTGACAACCGAGCAAACTCTGTCCGGATACTATTGTNATTGTGCGGAATGCTCGTTATCTCTGTTGAAGAGAAAGAGGATGACGGTATGCTTTACCATATTGTGTAAGTTCGGTCAGCTTACTCCAAGTGTTTTGTTTGTTCTGAAGTGTAGAACAGGTTCTGCCCTATATTGACACTCTTCACATACACACACCCAGCACCACTACCCTATTGTCCTTTGATCGTTTATTGTTGATTTCATCCCCTCATTGATCCGTGCCTATGACTGTTCTACATTACGTTGACCTCTGTCGGCCTCACCTGTCTCCTAGCCCCGTTCCCATGATCGACTGACTCTGACGCCTGTGATTACACACACGTACACACCTATACCGATTTACCGCACTGTCCTGTCACGGCGGACCCTAATGACTAACATTCACACTCACTGTGTTTTGATTGGTTCCCTCTAGGTCACTTGCCACCATTGGCCACCACAGATTCATGTGATCTTGTTCGACATTGTTCGGTGTATTCGTTCCATTGTCATCGCACTGCGCGCCTGCTTGCTCGCGGTTCTTGCATGTCGAATTACTGGCTTCACAGATTCCGGTGTGGCTAGTGTCACAGTTTGAGGTTTGCACATTGTATACTATTGTAAGATGTATTTCAGTGCCGCTTTTGTAAAAGAAACCCATTTGTTGAAAGACACCGGATATCAATGTTATCTGTGTGAAAAACGACTAAATTTGCCATGTGATGATGACAAGAAAGCGAGAGGTGTAAACGGGACACTGCGGTTAGCCTGAATGGCTAGGCAGTTAGTCAGTTTAGTGCCCTCATAATGAAGCTTAATTCCACGAACGAGATGTCGAGTGTCTAAGATTTCCTCGTGTCAACTATACAATACTATTGTGTCCTGGATACATGGAATTGAGTCGTACTGAACTTGTAATCCCAAGCTACAATCATTCCACATTACTTTCAGACTTGTCATTCTTTTGCTGGGGCCATATGCGATTGTAGCCGCACGAGTAGTAAGGCTAACGGCACGCTGTGGGGGTGCAAAGACACCTGTAAACAACCAACCGTATAACTATGCAAGTGGGGCGTCTAGTGGATTATCAAATAACCTAACCTTGTTGGCACCTCCAGCACGTGAGA